CGGATTCCTCGACCGCAGGGCATAGATAGACTCGATCACCCATTCGGTAGCCTTCTCCTTGACCTCTATTGCCTGTTTCTGCATCTCCTCTGTCAAGGAAGCAACTTTTCCTTGACTCGCCTGAAGTTCAGCTTCAAGAGCTTGCCTTAGCTTCTCAAAAGCTTCTCTCTCCTGTTCAGCTCGCAAGACCTGCAGAGAGGTCACTTTGAGTTCCTGGTCCTTCTTCCCGGCCTCCTTGGAGAGTCTGGCTATGGTCCTTTGCAGCTCCTTTATCTCTTCTCCATGCTTCTCGAGCTGCGTCTTCTAGAAGTCAACTGTGCGAAGAGCAACTTCCCTTTCGTTCTGGTACCGGTTCGCTGATTCGGAAGATAAGTTTCTCTCCATTTCGACGGCTTCTAGGCTTCACTTAAGTGTTGCGTTCTCTTCTTTCAGTGTAACCTCCCCCTTTGCAGCTCCCAGTTGAACCTTCTCCAGAGACATTCGCATGGAAAGAAGGGCCTGCGAACAAAAAAAAAAAAAAAAAAAAAAGTGATAAAGTTAGCCAATCAAAAGAAGCTAAGGGTAGTCCTCACCGAGGATAGTTCGTTCACCTTGATTAAGTGCTGGACCGATGTGGACATTAGGTCCACGTCGTTGAAATTTGCAAACTGCTCAAATGATTCCGAGAGTCTGCATTCCAGTAAAGTGTAGACCACCGACTGCAAGTACTCCGGCAGGTTCCCCAACGAGTCCAACACTGGAGTATCCTTCTTCGTGCCTTCAGCAGTAGTCATGTCGACCATCGGTTCCTTGCCCGACCTTCTTTCGACGTCCTTCTGCGACCTCCTTAGCTGCTGGCCCTCAGATTCGGTCTTTGACTCCTCGACCCAAATCTGCTTCCTCTTCTTTCGTTGAGCCATTGTCTTCATCCTCGGGCGAGCAAGCGACGGTTGGGAGACCTTCGTGGTTCGCATGGGCGCGTCTTCTGTCGGCTGTGGTTGAGAAGTTCCAAAAGGTTGCGCCGGTTGGCCCGATGTCACGCCCTCAGTTGAGGGAATGGTTGGAGCAGCTTCGGTCGCCTTAGCTTTCTTCGACCGAGGAAAATTGAACGGCCTTCATCGCGGCTGCTCTGGCTCCTTCGGAGGCATGGTCGTTGCATACAAGACATCGTTAGCAAAGGTATTCTATTTCATGACCAAAAAAAGAATCAGTTAGCAGGACTTACTCGATGGAGGCTCTAACGACGCGTTTACGTTGAAGAACCCGTATTTTCGCAAATTCGTGGTCGTCATGAGTTTCTTCGCATCGCGCTTATCCTCGGGTAGGGAGCCGAAGTGCACGATTCTTCTTCTATCGAAGAGCAGCCCTAGGTCAGTCGTCTTGTTAACTATTAGAAAGAAATCAGGTCCTTAGAGCGAACACACTTCAAACACAATGAGTTCACCAAAACGAAACAAAAAACAAACAAAGAGAAAGAGGCCTACTCGGTTCCTGGAAGCGGCAATGGCCATCGTAGCGAAAGAAGAAAAACTTCGTTTCGTAGGCCCCCGCGTTGCCGGGATAACTGTGTATCCCGTCGGCAATAGTAGGTCGCCTGGACAAGTAATACGAATCCTTGTCTTTGCTCTTTTTCAAAAAATACGAGCAGCCGAGCTCCATAGCGGTCAGCTCGCCTAATCCGTTTTCCTAGCACGCGATGTACGTTGCAACAGCAATGACGTACGCGTTTGGAGTCAGCTGCATCGGCGCGACCCCAAAGTGGTCCAGAAACGACCTGATGAAAGGGTGGAAGGGAATCAGTCCCCCACCATTGATAATCTCCTCGGAGATCGTGGCCAGACCGCTTGACGGATATCGCGACGAATGCGTCAGGTCATGGAAAACATCCACCTCGATACCGTATTGACTTATTACCCTCTCAAGCTCGTCCTCGGTAAGTACTGAGAAGACCTCGAGAGGGATGCTAGGAGCACCCTGCGGGGACGAGCTGGTTCCCTGCTCGGATCTGGTTGCTGAGGGGTCCATTTTGCCAATATGCAAAAGCGACAAGCAGAAGGGTCATTTAGCCTCCGTACGCTATTTCATACGATAACGTGGGAGGAAACAGACTCCCTAAATCCTAAAGAAAACCCTAACAGCATGATTCGAGCCACCATTCATGGCTCGAACCCGACGCAAACGTCTCGTCTTCGATGGGTTACCGAAAGATTGACGCCATTAACTCATGAAAATAATGAAACAATGGCAGATAAGTTCTTACCTCTCAGAGTATGACAACAACTTCTGCTTCAAATGCCGAAAAAATGCAGGTTTGGAAGACAAAGGTCCCAAGTTTACGACAATCTTTTGCTCTCTGTGAAAAAGGCTCTGGTGACATTGCCTGAGAACGATTTGGGGTTTTTATAGCGTGTGAATCGGCCTTTGGATTTCCTGGAATCGAAACGACGTTTGGGCGGCAAAGGTTTCTTACTGTTGATCTTGGCCACGTGTCGCTCATCAGCGTGGAAGGGTGAACGAGACGACTGGATAAAGTCAAACTTTCATCGTTCCAGTTGAAAAGCTCAAACGACGGCCATACCTCTTTCAGAGCATTAATTGTGTCTCAAATCCACATTTAATGCTCTGATAAAGGCGTCGTTCCAACGTATAACGCATTTAATGTTCTGATAAAGTGCACTGTTTCAGCATACAACGCATTTAATGCGATTGGCTGGCATTTATCACGCACAAGACACACTTGTCAATGCAGGGATGGCTTTATTAAATGCATCCCTATCACCAAAACAACAGGTGACGTCAGACGAAACCAGGTCGCTCGTCCTTCGCAAACAATGGACATGCGAGGTCGCGCTCATAAAAATGCCATCCCGACCTACTTTCAAACAGGCCAGAATTTCCAGAAATCATCCCGCCGCGGCATGACTTATAGTTTCCAAGGTTCAATCCTCAAACCTTAAAAACTAAGGGACTTCTGTTATGCCTAAAAAATATAAGGGCTGACGTCAGGTCCATTCAGCCCACAAAAGTCAGATCATTGGAACAACCACCGCCTGCTTCCGTCAGGATAGTGGGTGCGCGTCAGGCCAGCTAGGAGCTGTGGTGCTCCCACGTGTCCAATCCTTGCTCTAAATCGCGCAAATCACTCTGGAAGGTGGGCAATGTGACATAAAGAAGGATTTGCATGGATAATCCCACCAACTTACAGATTTAGTGATCATTGCCTCAATGCATCCCAGTATAAATTGGGAGCTCCTCTCTCATTAAAGGGGGTTGTTACATTTTACGCTTGATTAATTATTCTCTCTTTCCCTAGAATTCTTAGTATTTGATACCTTGTAATATTATTGTAAAGTTAGTCAGCTAAAAGCGACCTGACCATTGTCATCAATATAAGCATCAGTGGACATAGGACTTGCTACCTTAGCATCTGAACCACTTTAAAAACTATCCCCATTGCATTTACTATCTCATTATCCTTTACATTCACGTGTGTCTTCTGGGTCAGCTCAGCATTTCACACATGCGTTTCGTTGGTGTAAAAATCACGCATCAACACTTTAGTTTTATTAACATTCAAATCATATATATAACCGTGTTTTATTCGATAATATTATTATATTAATATTGTAAAAACACGACATCCATAAATCACAATAGGTAAAAATAAAAAAATATTTTTTTTTTGAAATACCTAGAACAAACTGTATGCCGTATTTTAGTTATATTAATAAATTTATAGACTTATATATAATCGAGTTTTTTATTTAACAATATTTTTAGATCCATAATATAGTAAAACCTCTCTATAGTGATACTCTATATAGGAATAAACTCTACATAGTCATAAAAAACTCTAGTCCCAATTTGGGATAGTTATAAATAAGAATAAACTCCACATTGTAATAAGTTATAATTTTTCTAATTCCCGTCTTAAAGAAAGTTATCTCCACATAGTAATAATTATCTGCATATTACTAAAAAATATATGTTATGTTATATTAAAGGTTTAAGATAAAATAAAATATTTATCTAAAGTTGTTTGGGACAATATTTTATATTTTTAGAGTTGTTACCACATCTTTTAACTTGTTAATAGTAATAATTTACTAGCATAGACACCTTCTTGTTGAAGCCAAAATATTTTTAGCTTTTTAAGCATGTTTAGAGCTTTATGACACGAAACTTTTTGTATATCCGTACTATCATCGTTAGGATTATTTCCTTTATCTCATTGTCTAATTGTAGCAATGATTTTTCTTTCGGTTAAAACATACACGATTTGTTGCTCATTTGGATGATTGAGGAAGACATTAATATCCATTCGATTAGTATAGTGAAATTGGCGAATCTGATCACTCAATTTTGCAATGACTCTTTTATTTTTCTCATCCACTTAATTTGTAACTCGCAATTCATCGAAATCAAAGGTCCTAATTTTACAATGCTTAAAACCATTGGCAATTGTCTATGACTTCACATCAATTGACCATACATCAACTGCATTTATAGTTCTATCAATGACACTTATCTTTGCTGGTTCCAAGACACGGTCTTCTATCAATTTTAAAAGTAGGCAATTGAAGTGCTGAATTGAAATCTAATACTACTAAAATATGAATTGAAATTCTAATATTGTACTACTAAAACATGAATTAAAAAATAAGAAATTAAAACTATAATTTTTGTAATTACGCCTCCCTTAAGTTATAACCTCTTTATAATAATAAAATTAGTTAGTCTCACCATTATGACTATAGAGAGATTTTACTGTATTGTATATCCTAAAACTTATAAATTACCATATTATTATAATATCTTTGGATAATATTTGCGAAAGTGAACTATATTTTTTATTTTATAACATTAAAAAACACGTACATAATCAATTTTTTTTATTCAATAACGTTATCAGATTGAAATATGAAGAAAAATTCACAAAGGAAAAAAAAAGGCAAAAAAAAAAAGGGGGCAAATAGTACGGCTTTTGTGTGTCTCCACTCTCCACACAAAAACACCTCCATACACACTTCCACAACACCCCCAAATAAAAAAGAAAGAGCGACCAGATAGACAACAAGACTCTCTCACAGTAACACCACTTCCACCTCCCTCCACTTTGCATCTACTTCCCTCCTCCCGTCTCTCTTTTCATCCCCAAGTAAGTCTTTTTATTCTTCTTTTTCATGTTTTCTTATCTGGGTATTTGCTTTTTTTCTTGTTCTTGTTCTTGTGTTTTTGTTTTTGATGTGTGTTGTTTGTTTGACTTCGAATAGTCATCTTCTATGGGAGAGAGAATCACTCCTGGAAGTTACTTCCAGTACCCTCCTTCTGGAGTCCATGCTTCTCCTCATAGACCCTCTTCTTCTCTGCCTTTAGATCGTGAAAGGTTGGTTTTTTACTCCCTTTGAGTTGGATAATTGCTTCATGTTTGAGTCTTTGAATCTTGTGTTGTTTTGTCTGTGTTTTTGTTTATCTGGGTTGGCTTTGTTTTGGTGGTGTGATTGTTCGGTTGAGACTTTTGATTGTGTAGTATGATTTGTGGTTTTTGATGGGTTGAATTTGCTTATTTTTGGGTATTTATTAATTGAATTTTGTAAATGAGGGCGTGGACTTAAGAGGAAGATGAACTGAATAGTAGTTTCGAATTGGTGATTGTTTTGGGGACTGAAATCGTGTAATTGGGATTAAAGCAAATGTTATTTGTGCATCTATGTTCTCCTTAGACAGTTGCAGTTAACTTTTGGGAGAATTCAAGATCAAGCTTAGATATGTGATTGTAGAAGAGCATAGACTGCCGGCTTCTTTTATAGGGTATTGTTTTGCTTATGATTTTATACTCGTTGATGGTGCTAGATGCGCTATATTCCTTTTAGCTTGGCTACAATTGTATCACCTTTTTTGCGTTAGTGGTTCAACTGTTGCTAATGTTACAATTGAAAACTAGAGTATAACTCCCTTGTTTGAAGAGAAATTCTCCCTTGTAGAAAGCTGTTTCATGGGAACTTTTAAAGTTTAATTTTCATTTCTGCTGTTATTTTAAGTTCATTGTTGTGAAAGCTTGGAAGTTGAACATCATTTTTTAAGAGAATGGAAACTCTTGGCAACTGACCAAATAGTTGTGTTACACTTAGTAGAGTTGACTTTCAGTTAATTCTACTGCTTTCATAATCCCATTTTCTTTCGATCATTTTTTTCTGATTCTGCTGAGGAACCAAATGGAGTATTATACGTTAGTGGACAATGTGCTTTTATTATTGTTTTCTCCTTCTTCTTTCTATCTTTCTTTTTTCTTTTTGGTGGGCATACTTGATGCAATTATTAACTTAATGGGTTACTGAAGAGATTAATACTGTGCATCTAACATTTGGAAAGAGCAAGGAGTGGTTTAGCTAAATAACTAGAAGCATCATAGAAAGGAAACCTTTTTTAGCCTCTTTTTCATTTCAATCTTTCTTGCATCATTTTTAAATTGAATTGGGAGACTATGGTTGTATGATTTTACTTTCAATCATTTTATGTGCTTCTACTTGAGTTTAATTTACATCAAATACTTTGATTATAGTGTCCACTCACTGATAAATTTGTAATGTTCTAGTTTCAAACTAATGTTGAGCAAAATATTCTTGTTATTTTCAAAATTCGAATCCTATGAGAAATCAGATAATTACTCGTGTTACTGTTGTTGTTTAGAGTAGTATGGTTTGTCATATGATTTGATTAATTGATGATGACAGATATTTGGGTGAATTATTGGCGGAGAGGCAAAAATTAGTGCCATTTATGCAAGTTTTGCCACTATGCACCAGGCTTCTAAGTCAAGGTTTGAATCTTTAATCTATTCTTTGTTGTAGTATTTATGTGGCTTTTGTTAATATTACATGGATTCTGTTGCCTGTGCCTTGAAAAACAGCTTCACAAATTTTAATGGTATATGTGCAGTACACTCAGAGTCAAAGGCTTTTGCTTAGGTACATACACATTGGTAGGAGACTACTGAGCCACATGCATTTGATTCTTAAATATATTATTTACACACTTGTTTTAAATTTTCTAGGTTAGAAGTTTCTTGAACTGGATTTTGTAATGTCTGCATCATTGTATATGAACTGTTATGTCATTTCAATTCTTGGTATTGTTAGATGCATTGTGAAGTGGCTATTTTGGTTTTACACGTTTGTAATTTCTGTCCAGTTGCAAAGATACTGATATGTAGAACAATTTTGTAGCGATGCCAGTGATGGCTCTGCTAAAATTTTCTAAAAACATTGTGTAGACGTTATCACCAATTGTCTCACTGAATACAACATGTAATTGGTTGATACCTTGTAATTATTTGTAACACTGGGCAATAAGAGTTGATTATATTCGATATCTTCTTTGAGGAGGATCTTAGAAGTTGGTATTTATAGTTCCTAGTGATTCTGATATGCATTATAGATCACTGGTTCTGGTAATTTGTAATAAATAGTTTATTTGTTATCTTGTGTCACTGCAGAAATCAGACGGGTAACAGGTTACAATCCAAGTTTTGTTGATCATGAAAGGTTTGAACCTGATAGTCCATTTAGGTCATTAGGTCAGCCAAATGGAAGACCGATGGAATTGGAGGGATTGTCAGCGATGCAAACAGAGGTACTGCCAGTTCTGGTTTTTCATGCTTGCCATGGATTTTTATTTAGCAATTTGTTTGAATCTCACTGAATCTATTTTTATTTTTTAATTCTTTGAAGCCTGGACCATATATTTTATTGCTCTGGAACTGAACATGGATATACTAGTATTTTAGATGCGCAGAAAATTTTCTATTGTAGACAGGGTACATTAATGTTTGTTCCTGTTAACTAGTTTTGTCATTGATTAGTTCTAATGTAGTTAAGGTACAAAATTGTTAATTTATCTAAGAATAACATGTGACCCTGGATTTGATGTGGTCTTTCACAAATCAATCTTCTAATAGCTTCTTTTTCAATGTATTCAGCTGCAAATAAAAGATGGCTCTTTGAACGTGCCTTATTTATTGAAAGGCCACTGTATGATCTACTGTAATTGTAGTTAAACTGAGTCAGATAGATATAGTAATTTTCCTGGTTATGTCCATATGTAAGACAATTCTTTTATGCTCATACCTGTAACGTGGTTCAAATGCCTGAGCTCTTATTAGATTGTGGGGGAGAAGATAATTTGGTGAGTGATTTTTCTTGGTGAAATTTAAGCTTGGTAGGTGGGTACTCTAAAAGTATGATGGGATAAGGTTGGAGCCACCGGGTGGTGACTGAAGAAGAAGGTTATCAAATAATTTGTGAGTTTCTTTGTGAAATCTTTTGTGCTGACATTGGTGGACAGCCATGGAGATTTTTATTTTATTTTATTTTATTTAAAGAAAAAGTACAAAAGGAGAAAAAATTAAAAACCCTCTGCAAGTGAAGAGTTAACAAAGCTATGTAAAGTGGTAAGAGGGAATACTCGATGTAGATATTTTCCTGATAAATTGTTTTTGAAAAGCTTATGCAGCATCTTAGATTTGCCTCTATTGTAAGTCTTGTCGTGTTTGATTAACTTATAACTTTTCACAAACATATTTAAACTAATTTTCCTGAAAAAGTTATATTTCGAAAGTCCCTGTACCTTCATAGCTGTAATTCATAAAAAAATAAAAATAAATAAATAAATAAATAAATTATGTTGGTGGGTTGAATTTGACTAAGTTCTAACTGATGATAGATTTTTTTTCTAGGAGACGTACTATTTCAAATCAAAGTGCCTAATCTAAGGTGTGAGGAAATGGGGCGCTTTTGTTTCTGTTTCCAAGTTAGATCAGCTTCTGCTTTTTAAAAGGGTTTTGGATTGCTTGGATGTTGTCTTTCTATTTGGCAAATGGTGGATTGTAGGAACCACTGGGTAGCCTTCTCTTGCTCGTATCTGTCCACTCCTAATCCAATGACATATTTCTTAATTGGATTAGGTGTAGATAGGTTTTGGAGAGGATTTTGGTTTTGGCATATGGCTTTTAGGATTGTTCTATATTGCTGTTTTGTTTAGAGTTTGGGCCTCATTTTGTGTCTAGGCAAGTTTATTTATTATTTATTCTTTCTTTTTAATGGATCTTTTGTGGACTTCTCTTTTTGATATTAATAGACTAAATTGCTTTCTTTCGTGTTTAAGTATTTCCTGTTTTCCTTGCTTTACTATTGTTAGTTAATGCTTCAGTAAAATGGAAAAAAATTTATTAATCTTTTTTATCAAAAGTAAAGATTGATTTTCTTAATGATGTCTTGCTCCAGGAAAATGGGCATCTCCAAAGAATGGCCTCTTTTCAAAATCCTCCAATGGGCTGGACAGGGGTGCCGGGAATTCCGACCACACCTATTGTAAAGAGAGTTGTTAGACTTGATGTTCCTGTTGACAAATATCCAAATGTAAGTTAAGATGTGTATATAGATATGAAGTGCTTTTTGATTTTTTTTCGTTCCCATTCTAATCATAGCTTCTAGCTTAAAATCATAGCAGTATAATTTTGTTGGTCGAATTTTGGGACCACGTGGGAACTCTCTGAAAAGAGTTGAAGCCATGACAGAATGTAGGGTGTTCATAAGAGGCCGGGGCTCCATAAAGGATTCTATAAAGGTATGACCCATCAGAAAATGATTTTCTGCTTTCAAAATCTAATTTGGTGAAGTACTATACATAGAAGTGACTTAGAAGTTAAGTTGCAACTCATTTAAGCTGTGATGGATTTGAACTCATATGGCATGATAATATGAAAATTTTATGCTATAAAGCTGTTTTGCTCATTGTTTATATATATATTGCTTGCATGTTAATTGCATACTTGCCGGATTTATGGATAAGGTGGATTATATAACTCTTGATTCTCCATTTTCCCTCCTTACTTCAACCATGCTGAAGTAGGAACATGTAAATATCTGGTGATACCGATAATATAACTTCTCTTATTTATCAGGTGGCTGTTTCAATAAAAAAATGTTGATTTCTTTGATTTGAACTGGGGATAATTCTGATTTAAGTAATCAGGATAAAGTTAGTGCATTGTCCATTTGAAGTGTGGTGATAAAGCTCAAGTAATTAGGTAAGGGCCCATTAGAAACATGGGAGTTAGAACTAGAAACTTTTGGCTCTAATACTGTTTGAAGTTAACACTTGGCCCAAAAGCTTAAGCTATTAGGTAAGGTCCGAAGATTGGTCAGGTAGCTTAATAATATTTGATATTGCTCATCTTATGACCATAGAGGTTTTTTTTTTTTTTTTTTTTTTTGGGTTACAAAAGGAGTTCCTTGACAATCAATCAAAGCTACTGATAACCTTCCATTGTTGTGTTTGTCTTGAATGAATATATTTATTTCTAATCCATCATTTTGTTAAGCTCTATGTATTGGATGATGAATCTGTATTTAAGTAATATTTGTCTTCGCACTTTGGTTTGAAGTGTAAGTGACATGTCTAATATGCAAAAGTTCAACATATATTTGCAAACTATTGATGGAAATATACATGGTTTCTTCTTTGGTTGCATGTTTTCACCATCTTGAATTCGCTTGATGATTTCTGGTTTTATTTTTTCAGGAAGAGAAACTAAAAGATAAACCTGGTTATGAGCATCTAAATGAGCCGCTGCATGTGTTAGTGGAGGCCGAATTTCCAGAGGATATAATAAATGCCCGCCTGGATCATGCGGTGGCGATATTAGAAAATCTTCTGAAGCCAGTGGTATGAACCGGAATGCATTCATTTGTTCTCTGTTTGCTTTGTCCACTGGGATCTAAACTTGTTCAAACTCATTTTTTAATGCAGGATGAATCCTTGGATCACTATAAGAAGCAACAATTAAGGGAATTGGCTATGCTAAATGGTACTCTAAGAGAAGAAAGCCCCAGCATGAGCCCGAGTATGTCACCCTTTAACAGTGCAGGATTGAAGCGTGCAAAGACAGGAAGATAACCCCCATTTAGTGATGATGGATCATAATTATTAAACATGCTGGACCACTGCAGCTGATGGACTGCAGTCCTGACGACTTCAACTATATTGTTCTTCGGAACCTTGGGAGACTTGGTGATTGAGAAGAGTTAAGTTGAAACCAAGAGTAAGTTATGCGCGTGAAATGTTGGCATGCCAGATGGGTTATCTGTTTCGATAGTTGTGTTCTATATGGCTAACATCTTGATCTACAATCTCAATTCTTTTCATGTATAATTCCTTTGAAAGTCGAATTTGTTATTTGATTGGTTAAAAAAGTAGCTCATTCCCTAATCAATTTATTTGTTATTCCAGCTAGCTGTTGATTGAATGTGAACTTTATATGTACTTTGGCAGATACTTTGCCTTAACAATCTTATGCCTATTGACATGAAACAAATGAATAATAAATTGCATCGTAATTTCTGTTATCTTCCATGTTCTGTTGTTGTAACCTATGTTTGTCAAAACTTTGGATCTTATTGTAGAGATTCAAGTGCAGACTTCATCCTTATCATATATAGATACAAGGAAAACTTAAATATTGTAACTTAAATTTTTTATTTCATAAGGCCCAAATACCAATCAGTTATAACTACAGCAAAAGATTGGAAAATAAAAACTAAAGACCAAAGTAAAACATGCTTTCAGTCTATAAGTCAAGAAAGGGCAAAAACCCAAGTTTTGTGACTTAGATTTGTTTCCTTCCTTTGCAAACCCCTTTTCTGAAATGGTAGCCTCCTAAAAGTCTTCACAAACCAATTCCTTAGGAAGATCTTATTGCATTCAATGATAATTCCAACGACTAACCCACTGCCATACCCCATTGCAGCTACTATCTTCCATAAAAATTCATCTTGAGACCTCTGAAGTTTTGATCCTTTTCAAAAGTTGAAGGTGCTGTGGAGGAAGTCTAGATATTCTCACAGGACTTTGAGAGAGGAATTCCACACAACCCTATATTTCCTTCATATGAATCATTTTGAAATGTATCAAATTTTGCCCCTCGTGGTATAGGTCCTATGAGATGGTAATGAGAGACATTCAAGAATTCTAGAAAGTTGAGCTGTTTTAGTTCTTGGAGAATGTGTCCCAAAAGTTTGTTGTAGGACAATTCTAATGATTCAAGCTTCTTCTATTCCTTCAACGAAGATGGAATCTGGCCCGAGAGATTGTTGTTTGAAAAATCGAGCAAATGCAGCCCCTTTAAGTTCCCAATGGATGTTGGAATCTCTCCTTGAAAGTTATTGTATGAAAAATCAATGGCTTTCAAGGCTTTTGAAATCTTTGAGTATATCGTTTTCATTCCTTTGTTATGTATTGTCAATGAATAGTGATAGTCTATGTCATCATACATGCCAAAGAAGTAGTTAATGCGAGCCAAGCTTTCTTGCATATATGCTGCCTGCTGGTCAACATCAATGACTTTTAATGCTTTCCAGGATTGGAANGGCTTTCAAGGCTTTTGAAATCTTCGAGTATATCCTTTCCATTCCTTTGTTATGTATTGCCAACGAATAGTGATAGCCGGCGTCATCATACATGCCCAAGAAGTAGGAAATGCGAACCATGCTTTCTTGCATATATTCTGCATGCTGGTTAACATCAATGACTTTCAATGCTTTCCAGGATCGGAAGTATTCATATGGTAGCCTACCTTGAAAACTATTGTGGGAGAGATCAATGACATGAATGTTGGGAAACTCAAATCCAAACGCAGGACCTCTTATTACTCCATGAAATTTGTTCGAGCTTAGACTGAGAACTCTCAACTCTGGAAGATTTCCCAACCAAGATGGAAAAATCTCGTATATATGGTTGTTCTCCAAATCAAGAAACTCGAGCATTTTACAATTGGCCAATGATCTTGCCACTTGCCCGTGTAATTGATTATGACCAATATCAATCGACTTCAACTGGCATTCATTTGTAAATGTTTGAGGAATGTGGCCATGAAAGGAGTTGTTTCTGAGATTCAAAACAACCAAAGAATTACTTAAGTTGCCTAAACCTTGAGGAAGTACTCCACTCAGATTGTTATTAGATAGATCAAGGACTTGAAGCGAACTTTGACTACAAATCAATGGTGAAATTTCGCCAACGAATTTGTTGTTGGAGGCCAAATAAAAAAGAGTATACATAGATTTTGCTGGAATTGGGAGTGATCCTTCGAGCATGTTAAACCTTAGGTCTAACGTGCGTAGGTGTTCCCACGGAAGAACAACTGAATGCCGATCAAAGCCTGTTAAGGAATTAAAAGAAAGGTTGAGATAGTCGAGAGTGTTTACACTTGTACTCCAAAACCATTGAGGTATTTGACCACTGATATGGTTGTGAGACAGGTCTAGCCACTCCAAACTTTCTTGGTTTTTCAGGAAATTTGGGAACTTATCTAAGTTGCATGAAGCTAATCCTAACAATTCAAGAGAAGCATTACTGCTGACATTCGAAGTGAGTACTGTTAAATTGTTATATGATAACAGTAATCTCTTCAACTTTTTTAGCATTAAAAACATTGCTAGCTCCATTGGACCACTCAAGTTATTGCGATAGAAGCTGAGAAATTCAACATTCTTGAGTTTAGAGATTGAGCTTGGAATAAGGCCGTTCAACTTATTGGATGAAAGGTCCAATGTTTGCAACTGGGTGAGATTGAATAGCTCAGATGGAATTTCACCATGTAAATTGATTGCTCCAAGCCGCAAGACAGTGAGTTCGGTAAGCTTTCCAACCACAGGCAAGGAAGAAAGAGTTTGGGCAGTGAAGTTGTTGTTTGAAAGGTCTAAAAACTTGAGCTGGGTAAGGTTTTCAAGTGAAGATGGAATGAATCCCTGGAAATTACACAGGGAAATATGAAGTTCCTCTAAAGAATCAAGGTTTCCTATTGAAAAAGGTACCTCACCAGAGAAACTTGTGTTTGCGATATCAAGTACCTTAAGAGGACTGTAGAAATGAAATTCAGGAAGCTTACCTCTCAGATCCTTGTTCCAGGCTAGCTTAAGTCTTGTCAGATTTGGGAAATGGAAAATTCTTTCTGGGAATTCCCCCTGTAATGAACAAGATTCAAGACCAATAGATGTCAAAGAAGTCATATTTGCCAAGGTTTGAAGGGCATCAATTGAATTCATTTCGACAAAGCCGAGATCAAGTTCTTTTAGGTGAGTTAAGTTATGAACTAAACTTTTCAGATCAGGCTTACGGAGCTTCAATGGAGCTTCTAATGCAGGCGGCATATTAAGAGATAAAAAGACCAAGTTGGATAATTGAGATATTTCTGATGGGATTTGGCCAGAAAATACAGAATGTGAGAGATCAAGATATGTCAACTCTGTAAGGTGCCCAAAACCTGATGGGATTTCTGAGTTATTGAAATTATTACCAGAAAGATCAAGTTTTTGAAGGTGGGAAAGGAGGAAAAGAGTGCTATTGGAGTGGAAAGAACCGAAAAGACAACTGCTGTTGAGTTTTAGGCCAATTACATGACCAGTATTTTCATCACACTCGACGCCATCCCATGAACAACAATCATCATTCTCTCCTTGGAGCCTCCATGAAGACACTTTTGGATAAGCAGAAAGTTCATTAGAAGCAGACCTGTTAATGATAAAGCTATCCTTGAACTGCAACAAGGCATAGCTTTCATCATTATGGCACAACGGCTGCACTGAAGAAGAAGAAGAATAGGTGACGTGCAGATGAAAGAGCGAGATAACAAAGAACAAATGAATGAAAAACAAATGAATGAAAAACAAGACTAGATTGAAGAAGGATCTCATGATGAAGCTTCAAAATATTAGTCTTAGAAAAGCAAGTAAGAGTATATAGAAAGCCTAAAAGGCCCTTGAAAGTTTGATATTTTAGTTTTTTTAAATTTAAAATTTTCTTAAAAAGACCCCTAGGTTTGCTAATTTGACTAAATCTACCCAATTTTAAAACTTTTATAATAAATAACAAAACCACCCCCGCCAACCTCCGCTCTGTTGCCGATTCCGACCACCACACACGCCAAATGATTTAGATCGAAAAATTCTTCACGCACAGACTCGTCGGATCTGTGTCGTAACGCATTAGGAAATGGCTCATGTTTTCCGGCAACGATCAGCGGGCTGATACCTGCCGCAAAATTCAGACTCTACACGCCCAGATCGGTTCATAGGCCTTGTTTCCTCTGAGTCCAGTCGGATTGGGGTCTAATCGTGCCATCGGGTCGTGGTGTGCGGTGAGCGTGTTTAGTGTGAGTGTATAAAACGGATTTATGATTTTTGGCCGGTATTGAGGAAATGCAACCGTATGGTAGGTTCGACATGCTAACGAAAGGGGTCGTGAAATCGTGAAAAATACACCAAGAGATTGCAAAGCTTCAAGGGATGGGAGGCGTGTGCACTGACGTTAGATTCAAACGAAAATCAGAACATGCACACTACGCCGGAAGGTATATACCTAATTGGAGGGCCTGGATGCAAAACCCGGGGGGAAGACACAAGTCTCGGAGCGGGCTTGAGCCGCGAGAACCTGGGGGAGTAGAGGCGTAAGGCGGGGGGGCCGGGGGGGAGTGTCAGCAGGCCGAGATTGAGGGGCGGGGACATACGGGGGGGAGCGACATAGACTGGAAGAGGGGGGGGGGCGGGCAGTGGGGGCGGTAGTGGTGGGGCACGACAACATGAGAGAGGGGGGGAACGGGACGGGGGGGATAACAATGATGAATAGGCGGGACCCCGCAGCGCAGGGCAGTTTGAATGGATGCGCGTGGTGCTCTAAAGTGGTCGGGCAGAGGGGTCAAAGATACTTCTGGAAGGGTGGTAGCCAGGGGAGCAAGGCGTAGGGGGGAGCCAGGACGGTGGGGCGAAGGAGGCATAGGTTACCAAGGACAAGCAGAGCGCCGGTCGGGAGGAGCGAGCAAGAGCGGGACAGGGAGGGCAACGAGAGGCGGAGGCAGGCAGGAGGGGGAAGGGAGGAGGGGAAAGAGACTAGAAGGTGATAGTCGATGGGGGAACGCAAGGGGGGTGTGCGAGGAAACCACAGGCGAGGGAGCACAGGGAGGGTAAACGACGCAGTTACTACCAAAAAACGGGGGGGGGGGGGGGTGTGGGGGGGCGGTTTTCAGACTGCAGTGCTGGTGAGTGGTGGGAAAGATTTACTCACTACGAGAAAAGTAAAGATGAGTTAAGGATGAGATGAAATTTAGCGTATCTCCACGACTTAGAATTCCGGACCCCGGGCTGGTGACCGGGTGCCGGGGAGCGAGGAGGGAGTTCAAGGCACGTGCGGGGAGAGGAAAGATACGGGGGGGCGCGGCACCACCTGGACCCTAGGCAGGTAGCCACGAGTCAGGGAGACGAGCGGGCAACGTCCAGAGGGGAATCAGTACACAGTGACGTCAGCGGGCACTGATGGGGGGAAAGGGCCAGGGGGGTAATAGCCAGCTCCAGGGTGCTGCATGTGCTTCAAGGCAGAGGAGCATAGGGCGGGAGGTGGCGGCAGCACCGCTATGCGGCAAGGGGGCGGAAAGTTGGCAGAGGTCAAAGAAAGCAGATTAGGGATACAAGTGGACACGTGTGAGTGCCTAAATTGACGAGCTAGGACATGAGTGGCAGGAATATGGGGACTATACAATAGGGTGAACAGGCGGTGCGGCCAACGAAGGGAGTGCGAGTGAAGAAAAAGGGAGGCAATACGGGCCAAGACAATGGGGGGTGGCTGCTCCAGGAACTAGTTCATTTGCTTCGTCTCCTGGGGCGGACGGAGTAGAGGTCAGCAAGGCGGTGAAGAAGGAGGCGTTAAGATCCAGGATGTACAATGTTGGGGAGCAAACCGGAACTGTAGGGAGGGGGTATGGGGTTGACAAGGAGGGGTCTACAAACTGTAGTTCGCATCGGGGAAGCGGGAGGTGCTATTAGGTGATTCCAAAAAGAGATAAAACCCGTGGGGACCGCTCGTAAGGATGCAGCCAGGCGAGCAGAAAAGGGAGGGAGGGGCAGAGCACTGAGAGGACGGACGTAGTGGTGGGGGGGGCACACGGTGGAGCGGAAAGGGTGAGCAAGGAAGCGCGGAAGAAGTACGGCCGAGAGGAGGTCACAAAAAGCACGCGGAGAGACAGCAGAGCGGAGAGAGAGAATCTTGAGGGAGGCCAACCCAAAACCAAATAAAATAATAATAAAAGAATAATGAGGGAAAAAAAGGTGTGTGACGAGAAAGGTAGTGGAAAGCGGGGTGAAATGGGTGCGATATGGGGGTTGGGGGAAAGGGGGGGGGAACAGGGGACTAGAGCTCCCATTGGAAAGGAGAAGACGAAAAAAACCGAGGCCACAGCGGGAATAGGACACGAAACCGCTAAGAGGGTGGCGTGAATTGAGCGGGCATCTGGCGAGCACAAGTGGGGCAAGCCAACGGCGGATGACAGCAGAAATATGGGCTAATAGTATATGTAAATGAGGGGCCAGAGGGCCTAGCTCACTAGATCTAGTGGTTTGGGTGTTCCTGCAGTTCGGCGTTCAGGTCTGGATTGATTTCTCACTTTTTAGAATCTTGTAACTAGGTAGATCGATAGCGAGGTAAATCGAGGGTAGTTTTACTCTTGTGGCTTGAGGATTCCAGTGAAGTTCTTGGAGTTACGGTTAATTCGGGTAGAAATAGAGAGGATTAATCTGGGTTTGTTGGATCTTGTACTGTATTGATATTATCAGATTATAGGCTGTGAGCTCTCCATTTCCGGCCAACGGGACGTAGATTATCCAAATAGGAAATTTGAACCACGGTAAAAATCTTGCGTTTCTGTGTTGGATGTTTGTTAATCGGGGTGGATTTAAATCTGGTTTATGTGTGTTGTTGGCTCAGTAACATGGTATCAGAGCATTAGACAAAGGCTTGATAGATTTAGAGTGGTTCGGTGATTAGGGTTTCTGAAAATTAGGGTTTGTCTAAAATTTGGGTTTTCAAATTAAGGCTTCCCTTAGCAATCTTGAGTCTTAGTTACAGATTCGAGTGGTAAATTCACTGATTGAGGAAATCTTGGTGAAGATTCAGGTTTGAGTCTTAGATATTCATCAAGATTTACGTGTCATGGTCTGTATGGTTCTGAGTCAAGTACAAATTGTCAAACACAAAGATGTCAACTACACGATTAGAAATCATCAGTATGATGGCAAGATAGATTTCGGATGGTGGAAAAAGAAAATGAAGGCACTGCTGCCCCACACAGGTGGGAATTGCCCTGGAGAAAGACGAAGCCAAATGGCCAGAAGAGAAGCTGAAGAATAAGGATGAAATCAATGAGCGTACAACCTCATAGTGATGAACTGTCAGATAACGTTCCTGCGGAAGGGATGGCTAGAAACCCTCTAACCCTATGGGGTAACTCGAAATTTTTTTTTTTACAGTCAGCACACACCTTGCATTTTAAGGGTGTTATTCGTACAAATGGAGGGTTCAAATCAGTTGAGGATAATTTAGATGATTCCTTAAGATGACTTTAATTCAAAGGTATGACAGGAACTAGTGACACCAGTTAGCAATGATCTTATTAAACCTTAACTGAAGACTCATAGTTGTAAGATCCCTTCAGTATCAGGACTGTACCTAGTCTGGATTAATAGTTGCGGTCTTAAGCTAGGGAATTAGAGCTTAAGGTTCAAAAAGATCTAGAGTAACCGTGTTGTAAAGGGAGGGCAGATCTATCAAACAGAAAGTCTATCTAAAAACCAGCAGGGTCAAAACCAGAAAAAATGGAAGGGACAGTTAAATAAAATCAGACACTAGGAAGTGCTCTTCTTTGCAATAAACCTGGTCATATCAAGAAAACTGTTTTGAATGGTTGAAGAAACATAAACAGGTAATACTGATAGTAACCTTGCTTCTAGTGATAACCAATGGGGGGGCCTAAGGTCGACAGTATCAACATCTGACTGCTAAGGAATGGGTCCTGGACTTAGGCTGTTCCTTCCATATGAGTCCACACAAAAACTGGTTTCAGAACCTAGAATCTCAGGAAACAAAACTGTTTATATGGGAAAACCAGCTTGTAGGGTAAGGGTATGGCATATACCAGCTTTACTAATGGAAAATTTGTAACAACTAAGTTAGTAACCCTGAGTTAAAAAAGGAACTCGATCCTTTAGGTACCTTAGTAAGCTGAGGGTTCAGAGCACAATATATGGTTGTTAATGGTATAAAAACCAACACTAGTTCTCAAAGGGAAAAGAGGAAGGGCCTTTACATTTATGTTGTGATTCGACCCAAGCGGTAGCACAGTTTGTCACCCACCAAACTTACGCAACTGAAAAATGGTACCTTAGGTTAGGACACATGATCAGAAAGGTGTGCACATCCTTAGCAGTCAGGGAGGGTTTGGGAAGGACACCATAGCAACCTAGAATCTAGAAATCGGTGTGTTAGGAAAACACACCAGACAAAGTCAAAGGGACTCACCTACCAAGGACTGCCAGATACTACCCTCTGACCTCGGGGACCAAAAAAACCCAGGTGGGACAACTATTTCTATCCATTGTGAGATGACTACAGAAAGGTCTGGACCTTCCTCCTAAGACCAAAGATCGAGCTTTGACCAAGTTAGGGTTTGGAAACACTGGTAGAAAATCAATCAGGAAAGAAAGTTAAGGTACTTCGCATAGACAATGGTCTGGAATTCTGCAATTCTGAATTTGACAACTCTGAAAGACACATGGTATTTTGAGACATAAACTGTACTAGGAACCCCCAACAGAATGGTGTGACAGAAAGAGAGAACCGTACCTACTAAAAAGGTTAGGGTCTCTTGTTT